CAATAATCCTGTATAATAGGAAGCAGCAGTCAAAGAAGTACATGCAGCTTTGTTGAACAGAAAACTTGTCTCTTTGTCCCCATCTTTCATGGGCTGCAGTATGAATCAATGTGTTCAAAATCAAGGGCTTCTAGACCTTTCTTCCCCCTCTTCTATTTCCATTGCAAATAAGTCCTGTTGAAAAAAAAAATCATAGCTTAGTTGCTGGGGAGAAAAGTGTCTAGACCAGGTTGTGAATTATTTAAACTTCTGTGGGTTGTGGCAGAAAAAATGCACGGTGCTGGGTCTTGCCTATGTCTAAGTAATCCCAACTGCTGCTTGTTGAGGTTTGGGCTGTTTTGCTTTCCAAGACACTGTAGTGGAATAGGTTAATTGAGGACTGTGCTTGTAAGTTCAAACCTTAACTGGCAGGGCAGATTGGTTGTAATACCATATCTAGAGTGGTTTGGTTGTGCTTTTGAATTTTGTCTCAGGAAAGTGTTTGGTATTCTGATGAATATTGATTAGTCAGCATGCACGTGTATATGTTTGAAGTCTTAAAAATAATCTTGCTTCAATGCTAATTAATTTCCTAGAGCCACGTTTCTGAAATAGACTGAAGGCCACATGGTAGAAGTGAAGTGCATCCTCTGCTTGGGGACAGTGACCTGGAATGACCTGGCATTCTCCAGTGGGAATGTGCACACAGCCAGTTTCCTTGCAGCAGCTGCTGCCATGCAGTATTGTCATACACGGCTTACCTCAAGACAAATGACTTAGCTTCCTGTACATAGAGTAAAACTATTACCTTAGCATGAAGGTAATAGTTTTATGACCTGTCTGTGACCCAGGAGCACAAACAGTGGAACCTTGCTCTGCAGACAGGCTGGTGCTGTTGGCAGGGCTGTAAGTTCCACACTACGATGTCTTTTGCTTCAGGTTGCCATAGGTATGTTCAACATATAGCACTGGGATACAACATATGAGTTTGGTTGTGGGTTCATGCTCTTCATGCTGTTGCTTTTCTTTGATCTCTTCCTCAGCTTGTCAGGTAGCTCTGATGCTCCTGGGTCATGGGATTTTAGCAGCTGCAGGCTAGCACTGTTGGTGAAAGTGCTGACCCTGAATTCTTGCACCTATTCCCTGGTTGTCTAAATTGATCCAAGTATAGGAAGGCTGAAATCTGTGTAAAAACGAAAGGAGTGGTACATTGTTTGTACTTGGAAGGTGGAGCACTGCTATTTGGTGAGCTAGTTTATGCATCATAGAAAAGCCACCTTAGTCTCCTCCCTAGTCCATGTGCAGTCTCCATCTGTGCACTGAGGCTTTCAAGACCAAGCTGGGTAACACCCTGAGCTGGCCCTTCTTTGTGTAGCAAGTCAGCCCATGTACTTCGAGGATTCCTTCCAGCATGAATTTTCATCCCATTTATGTTGCTGAGACTCTGATACCATGTGTCCATGTGCAGTTAGATGTTCCAGTTCTGGTAATAATATCACCTCAGAGCATTGAAGCTCTATGATATTAATGTCTTCCCTTGGCAAGGAACGTAAAAATAGATGAAAGTGGAAATACGCCTTCATAAAATTTCCCCTTTCAGATTTCCATATGAGAGCAGTGCATTTCAACTTGAGGAAGACATTACTTCAGTGGTACGTCTTACAAACCTTAAGGATTTGGGTTTTTTCTTACATAAATGCAGCTTAGATTTGGGGGCAGGGAAGAAGGGGCAAAGTGAAGAGCCAGAAGTGAATAATTGGAAGAACTAGACAAGGTGAATGGAAGCCTTGCCTTTATGCAGGAGAGAAAAGCAGCACTTCTATAGATAGAAAGTTACTTTCCCTGAAGTGGGTAGAATTTGTTCTTTCAAAGAAGGATAATCTGGAAAAAAGATCTCAAAATCTTGATCCTGGGCCATACTCTATTAGAAAGCTGTCTGCACTGTATGATAAACTACTACTGTATATAGGTATGTAGCTATTTAAATTTGGGCACCTGATTCATATGAGAAAAATCTTAGTATAGGTAAGCTTTAAGCATTCTCTTACCACAGCTAATTGTGAAAAATACCTGGGTCCCTTTACCTTAACCAGCTAACAAGAAAGCATGTAGCCTTATGATTTACTTGGAAGGTAATTGTATCTTGGCAGTAGCTCCACTTTTCTTGCTAAACCCAATGTGGAAGTGACATGCACTTTAGTGGCTTTCTGACACATTGTAGAAACTGAGTTGAATTTAAATTGTGTGTTGTGCTGCAAAGTCTTTTCTGCGCTGGTAACTGGAGAATGGACAAGAGTTAGTGGAATTTGTGCTTTGTGCTGGTGGGCTTGTCAAGTCTTACCCAACTGCATCCTAAACAAATCTTATTGTTGGGGCTTTGTACTGTGGGAACTGAATTGGTGGCTGCAAGAGTAGGTAACTTAGGTTGTTTTTCTTCTGTTCTTCCCCTTGTATACTGGATTTGCAGTCTGCATGCTCTGATTTTTCTTTTCATTGCATTTCTGTGGTAGGGAAGAATAGCCCTATTTGGATTCTGTAGAAGATGTTGTACTGGAATGGCATCAGGTCAGTGCATTCAGTAATAGAGAGAGAACCATGACTAATGTCGCATCATGTGGGTCATTTTTCCTTCTAGCCCTTTACAAGTAGTGCAGTGGAGCACAGTATCTGTTTTAACACACTGTGTGTTGCTGGATACTTACTGTGGCAAAAATCCTTCTGGAGATGTTCCTTCCCCCATTTCTGATCAGCCCCAGCTCTGTTTCTCTGACTTGCATGGATGGGCATGTTTGTTGTCAGTACCTGATGCTGGCAGAGGCTGCTTGCTTTCCTCCCCCATGCCAGAGCTTAGAGGTAGTAACTCCTTGCAGTGGGCTGTAGCATGTATGTAAATGGCTTTTTATCAGCCTGTTCTGTGTGACATCTCCCACGATAAACGCCCCCGTACAGACTGTGTTAGGATGGCTCTTGCAGTTTGAATAAATGCTGCTTGTATACGAATGTCAATGGATTGCACTGCAGTTTTTTTGCAGGGTCCTCAGCTTACTTTGCACTTAAGGGGAATGGCTCTGAAATGCAGACTTAAAATTTATTTTCACTTAAGGGAAATTACTAGAAATTCAGAGCTAGATAAAACTGAGACAGATGCAAGAAGAATATTTGAAGGTTATTTGTTCTGACTGTGGCACTGGATACTTTATTCTTTTGCTGTAGAGAGAGTTAATGAGTATTTTTTTCCCTTCACTTATTACAAAGTTACAGGGTTAGAAAATGGAAGCTTCAAAATAATAGGAAAACAACCCATGATTTCAGGACAGAGACTTCATAGATGAACTAGAGACAAAATCTGTTATATCTGGATGGCTGTACAAGGTGTTTGTTAGAAGGAAGAAGCAAACACAGATTGGGCATTAGTTAAAAGCAGCAAAATGATTGTCATCCCCATCCCACACACCCTGTCAGTTTGAAGTAAATTCAGTCCTCCTGTTCTACTCTGGTCTGTATTTTCAGAGGTGAAAGGTACAAATGTGTGTTGCTCCAAGATAGAGATCTTTGAGGGAACACACTGTGTCCTTCTGACTTGGGAGAGGACAGAAGGAGTGGGAAGCCACCTCCTGAGCTTGAACCAGGGATGCCTTTTCCCAACACACTGAACTAACTGCTTGTGTCTGCCTCAAATGTAAGACATGAGATAGGGAAACTCCTTGCTGAGTAACCAAGGGGACAGAACAAATGTTGAAGATTAGAAGTAAACAAAGCTGACTGCCTAGGAACCTCAGGCTCCTCCAGCATGAGGGCCAGACTGTATCATACATCATGGGGAAGCCTGGCTGCCTGTTGCTGCCTCACAGCAGGTTGTTGCCAAGACTCCTGGAATGAGCAGACTGAGGTGATGGTTGATGCCTGTGGTGGGTCCTCCCAAATCCCTTGCCACATGCTGGAGCAGTTGAAATTACTTCATTGGAGAGCTGTCTGGAGAGCTGAATTCTTTTCTTCTTTTGTCAACTCTGGATCTATGTCAGGAACACTAGAATTTTGTATTGCATCTTACATATTTGTCATTGTTATTAGGGAATGTTCTATATAAAATTCATCAGAAAGCATGTACTGAAATTTTTGCAATGCGTGTTGGGCTGCGAGATGTTGGTGCAGTTGTGATTGATGAAGATCCAAGTTTTCAAGCAGTGATGTCTTGTAGAGATCTAGTGTGGCATAAGAACCTGTACCAATCAGAATAAAACTGCTATATGGATGTGTAGCCTATCCAGTTAGATCTAAGGATATAAAGGGTGTGATACCAGACAAGGGTTTGATAGTAGAAATTTTTAACATAGGGACCAGTAGCTGTGCATCTTCAGTTAACACACTCTGTGTTTGTTGGTGGTGTTGGATAATGATACAAGAAAAGTTCAGTAGTACACAACTGAGTTTTTTCCTTCCTTTGGAAAGGCAGTGATCTTGTGGTTAAGAGTCTCCTGTGCCTTGCCAAGAGCTTGCTGTGTGTCCGTGAGCAATCTGCATGTGCTCAAATTTTCCAAGAGAGGCCTCAGTTTTTCCGACTTTGTTTCTGTATAATTTTCCAGTTAAGGATTTTTTTGTTTGTTTTTTTCCCCTCAACACTGCTGCTTATTGAAAGCTTCACTTGAAGCAGCAGATGCCTAGAAATGATCAAATTCAGTGCCAGGCTGGCACTGAATTGAAGCACCCAAGATCTATAGCTATCTTTGGAAATATAGGCCATAATTTCTCTTTTTGCTGATTCCTACCAGAGGGATTGTGTGTCCTGTCTTCATAAAGTATTTGAAAGGCAGGAGTGTGCAGTGGCACTGTGTGTTAGAGCAGCATGACAAAGATGCCTTGCATGTGTAGGACTTGTATTTTCATGGGGGTAGTGTACTGAAAGTCCTCAAATCAAGAGAAACCACATGTGGAAAAGTCTTCTTATTAGCTGGTAAATTAAGAATGATATGGCCATACTGCTGTTGTGGGCCTCAGTTAAAGAAGATGTTGCCATTTTGCAGGTTTGTCACTGGAGCGCTCAACCAACTCAATTGCCTCACGTGCTCGACTGTGTGAAAGGGAGGAGGAAGTCATGGCTTGTTTTGAGAGAGCATGTGTTATTGCCCAGGTATACTTGCAGGACCTTGAGAAGGTAAGAAGAAATGTATTGTAATGTATGTAAGGGTATTGCCTGGTGGAATTTCCAGGGGTTTGACAGCAAAAATAAAAAAAATGAGAAATATCAAATGATCATAGCAAGGAGTCTGAGAACAAGTTGGAGAAGTGAGGTGTCTCAGTAAAATCATTTGCAAAACAGCAGTTTAGCTGGTTTCTTCTGAGAGGACTGGAAATAAGTTCTGCCTGGGTGAAGCACCAAATACTTCAAATATGCACAAGTTGCATCTCAAGTTTAGCCCTTACTAAAGAGGAACCATGAACTTTGCATAGCAAGTGCTGATGTGAAGGAACTTAGGATATTTTATATGCCTGCTGTGCAAATAATACACAGCAGTGGCTACTGAGATGCCTAATGAGCTCAAAGAAACCTTTTTGGGTCAGTCATAGCAGTTTAGTTACCAGTGCTTCACCTTCTCCAAGTGAACCTTGAGGAATCCAGAATATTAGAACCTAGGTCCTCCATCCCTGGAAGTGTTCAAAGCCAGGCCAAGTAGGGCTCTGAGCTGCCTGGTGCAGTGGAAGGCTGCCTGTGGTAGGAGGGTTGAAGCTAGATGATCTTGAAGGTCCCTTCCAAACTAAACCATTCTATGATTCTGTGATTAGTAGCAAGTAGCTGCTTAGCCAGTGGTTGGTAGGATGGATACTGGGAGCCTTTCATTGGGCCATCAGATAATAGGTGCTGCTGATTTGCTGGGCACATGCCAACTTTGCCAAGCTGAGGACATACCATGCACTTCCATGCTCTTCCTATGCCACACATTATTCTTGACATCAGCAGTACTGATGGCAATGCTTTGTTACCTGTTCTGTAACTGAGAGGCCTTTGACCTTCTGAGCAGATATTTCTGCTCTTCTTGGTAGCAAAGTTGTGTTTCTGTTTCAGGTTTTGTTTTTTAATTGCATTGAAACAAGAAAAAATAAGCTTAGTGCTTGTAAAAAAAAAATAATTTAAAAAGTCAACTGAGAAGAGGCCTGCTCTGTTTCTCTGCAGAAAAAAAATGGAGCAGTCTTTAAATTGAAACTATTACTGTCCTTCCATTGTGGAAGGATGAGTTCCTGCTGGTGCTGGACACTAAATTTATTTTACTGACAGCTTGGGTCTGCGAAGAAGGAAAAGGATCTGACCTGTAATTCATTCACTTAGACTCATGGAATCAGTAAGGTTGGAAAAGATCTCTGAATTTACTGAGGCCCAGCTATTAATTCAGCACTACCATTTTGCCACTAAACCATGTTGCCAGGTGCCAACACCATATGCGTTTTGAACATTTCCAAGGATGATGATTCCACTGCTTCCCTGAGCAGCTTGTTCCAATGCTGGACACTCTCTCAGTGAAGAATTTTTTCCTTATATTGCAGCTTGAGGCTATTTCCTCTTGTCACTTGTTACTTGGAAGCACACCAACCCCCCACCTCTCTACAACCTTCTTTCACATAATTGTCTCTGGACACAGAGACAAAAATGCAGGATTGATGACAGATACAGTAGAAGTTCATAGTCCTCCTTCAGTCCTAGATGAAAAACCCTGCTTTGGAGAGGCAACTTTCAGCAATGGAAGTGGCTTGTTACCAGTAAGGAAGCAAAACCAAAAAAGACTTGATAGGACAAATAGGGTAAAGGTTAAGCTTCTTCCATCAGGACTCCTGATGGCTTGCTAACTCTTAACAAATATTTATGTTATATTGAACTAGATAAACCTACTCAAACATTGTATTGCTCTTTCTGTGCAATGTGGTGGGTCTTTTTAGCTTGTGTGGTATTTCCCAAGCTATTGGTGTTAATATGTAGCTTTCTGCTTACTTTAATAAAGTAAGTAATACTTAAGTAATAATGGAAAGTAATAATGGATGGTGTTTCAAAACACATATTGCATGCAGAATATCTCATGGAAGTCATTGTATAATTTATTTTAAAATAAATTATATATGTAATTTATACATAACATTTTTAAATAACATTTAATATAATGTTATTACATTTATAACATTTTGAATAGCTGATAAATGTAACATTTAATTGTTGAAGATGTTACTGGCTCACGAGGACCTGGCTAGTTCCAACAGTTATTTGTATTCCAAGATACTTCTTTTTTTCCCTCACAGACCTTAAACAATACACATTCAAGGAGTATCAAGGGCAGCAATGCGACTTACTCTGAGTTTGAACTTTCCTACTTTCTGGAAGCAGCTCTACAGAGTGCCTACGTGACTCAGTTAAAGAAAGGGTAGGTGGATGCAGATATTAATAAAATTAAATAATATCGCATGTTTTTGTCTCACATGAAGACTAATTTTTTTCTTATGTTCTGTTATGACTTTTGGCTGCTCAACTCAAATCTCCGTTTCTTCTGTTTGTGCTTATCTGTCTTTCTTAAGAGTCTTAAGTGTCATTTTTCCAGACCTATAAGTAGGGTGGAGTAGAACAATATTCTTGTCTTGACTCAGCTTTGCTCCCTCTGGAGACAAGGGGAGTTTGACTGTAAAGAGAGAGTGGAGTTTACACTGCTGTGGCCCCTTAAAATTTTCAGTGCCTGGTTTAGAGTTCAGTAAAATCTTACAGGCAGTTTCTTTCATTTATTTATTTATTTATTTGTTTGTCTAAGGTCTTAAATATCCCAATCAATGCCCCAAATCTGTGTGGTTTTACTAGGGAGAGTGTACGTGGGAATAGTGCTGCTCCAGGGTATTTATTATGCCTCTGAAATACAGCTCCCAGGGAACTTCAGAAGGGCAGGAGGAGTTAATATCTACAAGTCTACAGAGAATTTTATGAGCCTACAGTTAAAAAGCTTCTCAAGATCAGCAGAAAAGGCACAGTGAATGCCCACTTCTAAAGGCCATTGGTGAGGACGTGCTGTTCCCTAAACCAGGCTGTCTTCAAAATATAATTAACTCTGGTTATCCAATGGAGAGATTTTGTCATGTAGGAGAGTCTCTTCAGCATGTGTAAACAGTACTTGTAAGACTCTATCCTTCCTTAGTCCTCTTCTTGCACCATATTATCCCATCTATTATCAAGGAGTCAGGGTTTCTCACTACAAACTGTATTCACAAATATTTAATTTTGACTTTTTTTGCCTTCACCCCCAGTGAAAGATACCTTCTCTTCTTTTCTTCACTTCTTTTCCTGCTGAGTAGAATGGAAAAGAAAGAAAAAAAAAAAAAAGAAGGAAGATTGAAAAGAAGAAAACTAGGGAAAAAAAATCCTTCTGTAGAAAACTGATACTATTTTTTGATTCTGCTGGAGGAGGAGCTTGCTTCTTCTTTAGGGCTTTTTTGCTACCTTTTTATCCACTGAGGATGACTTTAAATGCAAGTGTGAATAGCTGCTGTTCTCGATGCATGTAGAGCAAAGCTGTACTTGTAAGTATATCCATGAGATGTGCCTGCAGGTCAGCCTTGTTTTAACCTGGAGGCTTACAAAAGCAAAGCTCAGATGTTGTAAAATGACCCCTTTAGTCAGGCAACTACAAGTTTATGTATAAAGCAAAGTATGAACTTGTAAAGCATAGTCTCAGTATCTGCTTGGTATGTGGTTTTCCCAGGTGAGCTGGGGGTTGGCCAGCTGTGGCACAGTATTGTGCTTTCCTAACCTTCTGCCCTTCTCAGGGCAAACAAAAAGCTCAGGTCTTGCCAGTAAGCTCATTAACTATGTAGTAAAATAAAATCCCATTTACAACATATGGTGTTGATGTCCTCCAGGCACCTTTTGAATATAAAACTCATGTTCATTTTATTCAGCAACATTGTAAATTCACTCTTCATCAGTGAGGAGTTCATTATATCTAGTGGGATATTTTAGGCATTACTGTGGGCCCTGTGTGATCCCTTTCCATATTTTACTGATAGCCTTAAAAACAAAAACCAAATCCCAGACAAAAGCAAACCACAAAAACTCTACAGGAATACAATTTGAAGCAAAATACACATGTGAATTAAGGCATGCTTTGATTATAAGCTGAATTGCTGCAATAGCAGCAACATGTTCTCTGTAGCTGTCTCCTGATGAAACAGCAATGGAGCTCCTGCAGCTGGGATGGAAGTGGAATCCCACGGGCTCCTTATCTCCTGTAGAGCGGGTGAGAAACATCAGCCAGGACTGGAAAGTCTGCTGGGATAACAGGAGCCTGGTGGGACTGGCAACTTGTCAGCCCCTGCAGCTGATACTAATGTGTGGTTTCTGCCACGAGAGGGCATAGGCAGCATTGGGATATATTATGGAAAGGGGAGGGATATGGGAAGAAGCTTTTTAGGATGCTTCATGAGTATAGTAGATTACTCTACCTGATACTGAACAGCTCAAAGAAATACTTTTGTTCCCCTTATTGCTTCCAGCATGTTCAGGTAGGAAATAAGCCTTGGATGATGGCTGCTCAAGCTGTCAGGGGGTAGGTGCTGTCAGGTGGGATGTCCTTCCCCAGTGCTACATGTGTACAAAAGGAATAGTGAGTGTTTTATTCTTGTTGCAGCAGGCAGAAGAGCTCAGGGGTACAAGTGCTGTTGTTATGCTTTTGTTCCTGCTAGCAGGATCAGATATGCTCTTCTCAGAGTCTGGTCAGGGATGCTCTTTTCTCTTGCAGTCTGCAGTGCAAAGAAGACACCAATATAAAAGAAAGATCCAGTGTCCCCTTCAGGTGTTGGAACTGCCAGCTGTCAGGACCAGCAAGTCTTGCAGCTGTAGAAGTCACAGATGCTTTTAATGAGATGTCACATAAAAACATTGCATTGCTGAAGATGCATTTTCTGCAGTTGTTTGCCATGCTGGAACCAAAGAAAGCTTTCTTTTGGTCCTTTAGTGAGGAATGTTGATGCTGTGGATGCAGAACATAGGAAGGCAGATGCTGTCATACTGTAAGAGGCAGCCAGTTGTCTTAAGGTTATCATCTGCACTAGGTTTTGGGTTTTGGTTGGTTTGTTTGTTTTGATTTTTTCTGATGCAGATGTATGAATATTAGGCTCATTTCTTCCTGCCTTTTCTTCTTGTGTCTGTGCATGAGCAGCTGTTTAAGGAGAGGATACATTTTGTTAGAAATCTGGGTGAGGTGCAAAGATGCAAAAGGAGGTGGGCAGAGGCAGTGACGTTGCTGCTGTTTCTGTGCTCTGGGTACTGCTTTACTCTGGAGAGGTGACACTGCAAACTGCCATGTAATTATCTCAAGATCATGTTCTATCTGTCAGCAACTCATTGTTTTAGAAGTAAATGAGTGGGAATGAGAATATGATCTGCTGGTGACCATATTGTTGGGGGACTGTGTTTGCAAACCTCTGTGTCCACAGTCCACTCCTTTATTGTCAATATTTTTCCCTGGCAATTTGCATAGAAAACAGTGTACTTCTTTATTTTCTAGTGTCTTAACATTTTATGTAATGTTAACCAAACTATATGACATAACTCTGATATGACTGCTTGACTGCTTTGATTCATGGACTGGTAATTAATCTATATAAGGGTACATGCACAAAAACAAACTTTTATGCCAAGCTGGACTGACTGGACTTCCAAGTTGCTCTTTGTCACAGTTTGTGCCCATGATTGTCTGTGTTAATTTTTATTAGATTAGCTGTAACTGAATCCTAAACTGCTTTTCATTGTGCTTTTTTCAAATGGTGCTCTGACCACTACTGTGGCTAAAACTAAACCCAAGGCAGTATAATGATCATATCCTTTTCCCTTCCTGTTTTTCCTCATTTCTTTTTCTGGCCTGTTAGCAATACAATAGGGGCCTATGGACACTTCTAACTAATTTTGTTTCCATGATCTAATGTTCACTTATGATGCCATGGCTTGAGGCAACATTCCCTGGGATTTCCAGGTAGTTCTCTATCCAAGTCCTGCAGAGGCTAATGGCTGCTTAGTTTCTAATCTAAGTAAGATCAAGTGTTTGCACCATGGATTGCCAGAGGCTTTATGTCTGCATCCTCATCCAGTCACCTACATAGCATATATTTCTGTTCCAAATACATACTTCTCTTTTTCTTAAATTCTTAACGTCCTAATTAAAAAAAAAAAATCCCTTCAATTGCACATTTAGTATTATAAAGGGCATATATTAATGGAACAGTGAGTTCCTTATTGTTATGAGCAGAGCAATTCATATGCTTAAAATGAAATGTGCTCAGATGGTCTCCTGGCTTGGAACAGAAGAGTGGAAAGACAAACTCTTGTGTTTGCAGGCAGGTGTGCTCTGTCTCCTGTCACGGCTCAGTAATGTTTGATAAAGTTCAGAATGCAAAAGCTGCCAAACTAAATCCTCAGTGCTGTAGAACTGGTATTGTTGAGAGCCCAGGGAGTGGAGTGGGTGCTCTTTGATAGGTCTGACCACACAGGCAGCTGTCTGGGAGGAGGTCAGTGCTGGGTGCTCCTCTTGTGCCCCCCACATTGCACTCCTACCATCTGTTAAAAGTGTTCCTAAGCATTTGTCATGTGCTGCGTGGCTCCAGCCCTGACTACGGACAGATGGGCAGCAGTTTGCCCTTTATTCTTTCATTCACTTCAGTGTGTCTGTTCCTTGTTTTTCCTTCTCCCATTCCTCCTGCCCCAGAGCAAGGTGTTTCTGCCAGGAGGCTTAACTTGTTTTATGGCCTTGTCTAAAATGTTGAACTGTAATGGTGCCTCAGTTTTTTAGGAACAAAACTGTCTCATCACATTCTGTAGTTTTTCTTCTCGGAAGTATGTGCCAAATGTGAGATTACTCAGCTTTGCAAGTGGTCACTAGTCTTCTTCCTGATGTTGGTTAATGAAATTCATTGGCACTTTATTAAGACAAATAATATTATGCTAACAAAAGACCTAAATAAATGCAGTTTTGAAAATGCTGTAGAACTGTTATGCTCCATAACTCTTCTGTCCAGCCTGCTAAGGAGCCCATGGAAGAACACAAAATGCTGTTAGTTTTCAGGAATCAGGAAGAGCAATTGGGCAGCTGAATTTTGTTTTGATGGAGGAATTTATTAAGTTTTTCTATCTAATAGTAAAGATCATGTAAACAGTTCTGTTGAATTTGGTCACTACTTGTGCATAAGGTCTAGAACTGCATTTTGTGGGTATAGTCTATTCTAGAACCACAAAAAAGCCCCCAGTGTCTTGGCCCTGTCACTGCAGTGCTTGCTGAAGTATTTAAGTCCAGCTTAAAGAAAACATTCTTGGCCTTTTTTCCTCTTAATAAACTCAAAGCACATTTTTTACTGGAGAAAGTGGAAGGAAAAAAGGCAGTATCTGACTTTTCTCTACAAGTCTTTAGTTTTTTTGCTCTTGCCTTGCTTTCTTTCCTGCCTGTACACTGCCCATGATTAGACAGTCTACAGATTACCTCACGATACCCATCTCAGTTTCAAATTGCTTGGAAGTAAGGCCATTTGCATTTCCATTCTGTGACATGGTGACTACGAGCTTTAGGGTGGCATTTAATGTAGCCAATATTCATGGTAAACATGATGATATTTTAATCTCTGCACCTCCAAAATAATTACCTTTTTCTTTATTGTCATCAAATGTTTGCTGTTGATTCTGGAGTGCAAGAAGGTTTGCAGTGCATGAAAGCAGGCACAAGTGCAGTTTGTACTGCTTACTTTCAAAATTTAATCAGTTTGACAGAAAAGGTTTTTATGGCTTTGTTTATAAATGAAATTTAGCTTTTGTCTTCACAGAAAATTCTCCTGGATAAGCTGAAGTGACAGTTAATGTACCAGTACAACTGCTTATTTTGTTGTCTTGCTTCTTTTCTGGTAGCTTATATGTCTTTTGGGTAGCTTTGACCCAATAAATGTGCATTGAACCATTTTACATTTCCTGTTGTGGTGGAGACATGTCCTTAGCCTTGAACAGCTGATAGGCTGCCAGTGTGATAACTGATATGTACAGTGTTTAATCTTTCCTCTCTGCATCTCTCTGAGTACACAGACACGATTAAGATAGCATTTGGCAACTAGTCAGCTTTAATTGCACATGGTGTATGCAGAATAATATGATTTTTTAAAATTTGTGGGGTTTTTTTAAGTCTTATCCTCGTACTGCAGGTTAAGCTGTGCTTGCAGACAGTTACTGCAACTTAGCTGCCTGATAATTAACTGTTTAAACCACTGTAATTTCATCATGTGTGTGGTCCATCAGACACAAAGCATTCAAGCACCACCTAAAATAAATCATCATTTAAGAGCATCACGTAAGCTCAATATAATTCAAACAAGTACAATCTGTGTGTATGAAGAGGAGATGTGGATGCTTTTAAGGAGCAGCATCTGCTTTATAAATATGAGCTATGAAAGGCTTCCAAATGTCCCCTCTGTTCATCAAATTTGAATGTGATCTTCTCTTAGGAAGCCATCTGGAGTAGGCAACGCTACAGGCGCTGCCTTGCTCTGTGCCATTGTCCTGTCTGTGCCTCAGAGTGACTTGTCTCGCTACTGCACACTCACTGATTGTTTCATGGGTTGTTTGAACTTCAGGTGTGTTGCCGAGCTTTGGCACATCATAAAAATATTCTGTCTCCAGTGTGCTCGTTTTGAGAGTTTTTCTTTTTTTTTTTTTTTTTTTGCTCTATCTTCCCCATAGAAATATTGTGAAAGGAATGAGGAGTCTGCGAGAAATATTACGGACTGTAGAAACAAAAGCTACTCAGACCTTCAAAATGGTAAGAGAATGGGAGATGGGAGTGTGGGGCAGTCTGGTATGCAGGAATTCTCTTGATTGACCAGTGCTGTAGCACAGAACTGTATTTGTCCTCACTAGATTGATTGCTGGCTCTTTTTTTTTACTTTTTTTTTTTTTTTAAACTTTTGGAAGTGATATGTGAAGTGATCCCCTTAATTCAAAGACCTGCCCAGTTGAAACCTCTAGGCTTTCAGACCTGGGCATATAGGTTACTTTTATTGGGTTTGTGTTTTGTTTTTTGATTGTTTGTTTTGTTTCTTGGTTTCAGTGCATTTTCTAGCCCTAGTGGAAACAGAGATGTTGTTAGTTTGACAGTGCTGTCCTCAAGTGATGCTGTCTTGTTTTCTTTCTCAATTTCAGTGTGCATGCACACCTTTCTGCATTTGCATGTAGAAGCATTAAGTAGTTGTGTCTCTTGCAACAAGCAGTGCTTTTTTAGATTGACATCTTTCAGTGTTCCTTCTGTAAAACCCTCTTCAGTACAGTACAGAATGATTTTAATTGTTTTAAAATTTTCTTATTGGTGTTGGCACTCTGCATCTTTGCATCCTTTTATCCTGAATGTCTCAGGTAAAGAAGTATTTATGTGCCTGTTTAATTTCTTGGACCTTCAACTGGTTCTTCCCTGTCTCCCTTTGGAGAGATCTTGCCCTGAAGTTGCTCAGGAGGTGACAAGGTCAACAGCTTGCAGAATAACAGTATTGGGAATGAAAGCTTTTCAGCCCTGAAAGCATTGATACTCTTGCAGCTAAACTTGTACTTGATTCTGCTTTGTGTTTTGTGTCATTCCAGAGAAGTTGGGCAGGGGAGGTGGGCATGGGTTTGTGTAGCATTTTTGAGAATAAGATGCATGTGGAAGCTTGTGCAGCAAATTAGAAGAGATGACTTAAGTGTCCACTCAGATGGTTGCATCCTTTTCCAAACTGAGATCAGGGTTCAGCAGTATTTTTGTGCTCGCCTGTTTTATCATTTTGCTGAAATGAGTCTAACCATCTGCTGCTCCTAGGCTGTGACAGAACACAGCCCAATTGCTCCTGTCCCTGTGCAACTGGGGACAGCTGTACAGCACCCCTGGGGGATTTATCCCTTAGGGGGACTCTCAAGGTGCTCATTCAATAGCTTTCCCGAGCTTTAGAAGTTGCATTTTCATTTTCTTATTTGTTTTTAAAGAGCCATCAAGAAGGCAAAGGGAGGATTGTGCTTAATTAAACAAGTTTTTCAAGCATGAAAGTAAAACACATGATTTTTTTCCCCCCTAATTTGTGGGATCACAGTGTTCTTCAAGCATAATGATGCTTTTTTTAGCCAAAGGCAGTAATAACATAAATCAGAGTCTTGGCCTGTTCTGGTTTGTTTGGTCTTATTCAAAGCAAGAGTGAAGCTAATTTACACAGCTACTGTACTGTATGTTAAAATTAAAGACACTACAAGTATTTGTTGCTTGCCTTTTGAATGGCTTACCACAAACTATACTCCTACTTGTGTGTGAACCAGTAGAGATCTTTGTATTGCTGGCAAATTATTTTTCCTCCCCTGTAAGACTGTAGGAGAAAAGTATAGGAGAGTTGACTCCTCAGGGTAGAACTGACTAAATAATTACACACTGAGATGATAAAATGATACTGGCTAATGTTGCAGGGCCCTAGGCCATTTTGCTCATAGTTACTTGCTATAAAAAGCATAGAAAAGCTTAGTTAGAAACAGACAGCTTTCTGTAACTCGTCAGTAGCAGGACAGGGAAGGTCTTGGGGTTTCTAGGGTGTTGTACGTGGTGGCATTTCTTTGAGACACCATCGTACACACAGACCACTGCCATCTATGAAACCTCCCTTTGTGATGTTTAAGAGGTGGTACTGTGGTTGCATTTTAGACTAATTCAGTGAATTCATGTGTGGTAAGGGCGGTGAAAATCAGGAGCCTTGCATCAAAACAAGTTATTTTACTGAAATTGGCAATAGGAACTTTTATCTAAGTGTGGTTTATTGGATCCCATAGATTTTGAACTATAATATCTATAACATACATTTAAAAGAAAATTACTGTTGGTGGGCTCATAACATATCTCAAAGTGTGCATTTCATATAAAATACATATCCAGTAATGAAAGAAGTTGCAAAATACTATTTGCAAATATTAGGACAGAAGGGCTGAAGTTTCAGCCTGCCCTCTGTTTTGTGCAGGATTTACTTTACAGCACAGAGCTATGTGCTGCTTGGAATTCACAGAGGACACCACCCATTGTGATGTCTCTGAGCTTGTTTGCAGGCTTATCTATGTACAGTGCAAGAAATTAGAGATTTGATGGGTATCAGACAAGGGTAAATGCCAAAGATAGTTTTGCTAAGTGAAGTTGACTTGCCTCCTTTTGGGCCCAGCTTGCCAGCTGTGTGCATGAAGTGGAAAGCAACTATTGAAGGGTCTTTGGCTACTTGATGGTAAAAAAAGTACATGTGATGTTGCTGTCTCACTATAAAGTTCCTAAGCATCTTCTCTCCTCCCTCCTTTACTGCAGCAGGAAGAGAGAAGCAGTACCAAGATGAAACTATAAGAATCTATAAGGGAGAGTGACATTAACAGATAGTTGATCTTTTAAAGCTAACACAAAAGTCTCCTCTGGTCTTGAGACTTGCATACAAAATTCTGAGGCTGAGAACACAACGTTGTGTCATCCTACTCCTATGTAGTAACTATTGTGAGATTGTCTCAGCAGTCCACGTGGCAATTGGTTGTCCTTGTTCACCAAAGCATCCCTTGCTGTCCGGCCTCTTTGATAACTTTTTTCCTAGAGCATTGCAACAGGACCATGGAAATGCAGAAGTTTGGTCTTTTCTTGAGGGAAGAAACTGACCCTTTTGTAGACCTTAGCAGCTGATTTTGCTACTCCAGCTTTCTGAAGAGTGATACTGTCACGCTGGTACATCTCCTTCCCAAGATGGAACATGGTGAGGAGTGAATCTGTTGTGTTGGAAAAGGTTTCACTGATTCATGTCTTTTTCTGTACTGATCTCTAGACTGCAGCCAAACAGTTAGCCCAAGTACTTCTCCATTCCCTCAGTGAAGACTGTTACTGGAGCCCTTTATCTGATCCACTTCCTGAGTTTATGAACAAGGAATATCAGTCTTATGTTAGCAATCTGCTTTGTCGGAGGCCTGAGCTGTACTCAGAAGAGAAGTAAGTATTATTTTCATTTCAGTTTATTAGAAGGAGGAAGGAGTATATTTGAACACTCTTCAGTACTGTTAAGTATGTCACTGATCCATGTAGTAGTTTTGTGCCTTCTTGCTTTTCAACTTCTCACTACAAAGTCTGCTGAAAAAATAAAGCATTAAACTTTGAGTGTTTTTTTTCCCCCCACCCAGGAAGAAGAAAGTCCAACCAGAGGCTTGTCTTTGCTATGAAATTGAAAGAATCTATTTAGGGTTCAGTATAGCTCATCTAAGATACATTGCAGAGTTTTTAATTTGTGAACCTGCAAAGAAAGTATTGCCTAGCAAATGAATTATGCATGAGATGTTTCAAATTACCGCTTCTCTTGTGGAATGAGAAAGAGGCTGGTAGGATAATTCTTGATCTTCCTCAGAAAAATGCGTTCTGTCTTTCAGTGTCTACTGCCCTCAAGATAATGTAGAAGAGGCTCTTCTCCTCCTCCTAATAAGTGAATCCATGGTAAGCCAAAAATGAGTTTATAGTATTAATAGTGCAAAGGGATATCTAGCATTTCCAGGTCTCCTGGTTGGCTTTGTTTACAGCATCTTCCCCAGATAAACAGAAGCAAAGGTTCGGATGCTGAGTGGGAAATGGTATCTATTCTTTTATTTGTGACACCACTTTTATTAAGTGGAATTTCAGTGAAGAGTTTTGGCAATTGTCAAGAAGAAAAATTGACTGCATTCACCATAGCTGTATGCAGGTTGTGATGTCCAGATACATTGTCAGTGGACAGATGTTTCCACTCATAACATCTGTGTGGATTTAAGGATCAAGAATGAGAGGAAGAGAGCCTTGCCTAAAGCCAGGCATGATGGTGGTAACTGCTGTTTGAAATTGCAGGATGCAGCACTCTGCTTTCATGCCTTAGTCTGCAGTTGTTTTTTTCAGTCTGGAGTGATCTTTGACAGTTTCTGATGCAGTGATGCAGGAAATCTTGTGACATGCAGAAACATTCATAATAAGCTACAGTGAAATAATTAGATTTCTTCTATTTATAGCATTGGTGGCTTTAAAAAATCCATTTAAGAGGCAGGCAGAAAATTGGAGGAAAGATAACTGCGTGGTGACCTTTGGTAATTTTCATGTGCTGAGAAGGTGCAAATGTACAGAAAACATGTTAGAAATGTTTTCTGAAAATGTGTAAGTAATGTGTATTTTGCTTTAAATGCAGGGTGGTCACTTGTACCTCAAAGTGAGATTCAAAACCTTGGAACATATCAACCTTCTTAGAAAATTTTTAATAACTTTCAGACAAATTGAAAAAAGATACTGTGGAAACTTTGGATTTTTCTTCCTTCAGGTTTTCTTGTCTGGTTCTTCTGGCACAAGTTCTTTCCCTTTCCCACAAACTTCTTCAGAACAGGGCAATTTAATATTGTTTGCTTTTAAAATTCAGGGAAAAATCGAAGAGGTGGAACCACCCCAAAATATTAAATTGACTTCAAAATCATGTACATCTGAGTGTTGCTGTGTGCTTTTCAGTGCTTTCTAGATTAAACCTCCGCAGCACATCTGCTTTGTGTTTTCAAGGGATTTTCTTCAGTCAGGAGGGCTTTTCATAATTAGAAATGGAGAGGGCTTGTAGGATATCATATATGCATATGCATTTCTATTAAAATCAGAAGTACTCATGTCAGTGGGGCTTGTCGAGGCTGATCCAAGAAGGAAGAAGATTGGGGTCTGGAGCAATGACAGAACTGGCTGCTCCAGCCTTTCTGGGACTGGACTTGCTGTTGGAGAGGCCATGAGGGACCTCAAACTGCACAATCTTGTTCTGCTGAGGAGGAGAAAGTTATCCCTATCTAATAGTGTGCAAAATGGTGAACTAACTGGTCCTGTGGCTAAGTTATGGATCAAGTAGTGTGAAAATGCTATTGATAGAAACAAGACTGCCGTGCTTAGTTCCAGGTAAAATAAGGAAATTTGGTGTATGCTTAAATGCTGCTTCTGATATAGAGGAACTTCCTGGAGGAAGATGCAAGGCACGTTGATTTGCTCCATATAAAACAAAAGAAGATCCTGTAGCAGAGCACTGTAGGAGCCACGTAACTGTATTTCTGATTTTGGGGAAATGGAACATCTGAGCCTTCATCTTGCATCAGCCTTGCCATGAATTTGTTCTAACTAAAATTCAGGACAAGTGTATAGAAATACACTTAGAAATCACATGAATGTTCTTCCTAAGTGAAGGAACAGAGGGAGCAATCTAATTCTTACATACATAAATACTTTCCTGTACACTTTTATTATGGTACTTAGAAGGGGAAATTTTGTTTAACTTATGACATGACATGTTTCCATAACAGCATTGCTGTAGGGTAGTGAGTTTTCTCATGTACAATTTTGTTGTTTGTTTGAAGTTTCGGTTTTTAGTTTTGTGTATTCTGTTTTCTTTAAAAAAAACAATGAAATGAGCTATCAGGAAGCAGATTTTTAATTGAGGTCTCTCCCTAATGATACAATGTTAACAACTGAATAAAACATACTTTGCTTTCTGGAGAGAATGTCAATGGCAAGTGATAATGATGTTTCTGTAGGCCAGTGAGCAACACAGTTGATGTTCCTGGATTTTGGTTGGATTAGGTGTTCTTCCAGTATTTACAATTGTGAACCCCTTAAAATGGAACAAAGGTATGCAATTATATTGGCCTCTCTGATGTTTGGGTCTGTCAGAGCAAAACTGACCAGAAAGGTGGTACTTCTCTCTGATTTTTAAAGTGATAAAGAGCAGTCAGGCCATTGTAACTCTCTTGCAGGACTGTAAAGCCAACCAACTTCTTCACAAACCTGTTCCTGACTCCTACTGCTCCAAAATAACCTTAAATAAGGACAGAATTAGGGAACGAGGCACAGGAAAAAATTTCGGCTTGTGGAGGGGACACAGAGCAAAGGAGGAGCATAAATCATCAGAGAACCTCTAAGTAAATGTGTGCTGAAAAGGAGATGTGGTACTTTTCCAAGAAGCATACACCTAGAATACCTTTGCTGCTGAAATACACTTTGTTTTTATGTTTGACTTGCCTTCCTAAGGTGAAGCTGACATCTACTTTGCCAGGATCTGTGTGACTTCCAAGAAGATATTATGGGGGAATAGAATTGTTCCTGTGATGGAGAAAGCAAGTAATTGCCTTGATATTCTTGAGAGCTAGAGCCTATTTCTCACCAAACCTTCTCTGGCTCTTAATGGCAGAGGCTTCTGGCTTGTGATTATTTATCCCTTTCCCTTGCATTGCAAGGGAGTCAGTTTGCATATTCTGGTGGGATGAAATGAGATTATATTTTAAAGGGCCAGTTAACACTTCCTTCAGTATTTCACTCTGCCTATGAGCCTAAGAATATAAAAGGTTTTCAAATGGCCAAGTAACATAGTATCCTCTATCATGGTTCTCAAGATGCTTCTGTGGATATATTAACACTTTCAGTGAAAGCTTGTAGCCTGCTTTGCCCTGGCATTCTCACAAATTGCCTCCTGTGTTCTTTATGTCCTGTTAAAAAAGGGAGCCTATTTTCATAACTGAGGCATCTCAGTAAACAATGAAAAGCATCCTGGTTGTTGAGCTTGGCAAATGTTCCTTCTCTGTGCCAGCTGTTATTTAGTCACAGCCTTTGGCCGTAGAGTTCTCATGAAGGAATCTAGTGAAACAAATCAGGCAGCCTGAAGATTGCCACAGTAAAGGCTGTCTTTATGGGTGTTTGTGGCCTCCTGGCTGCTCTGTTATTCCTTTTGTATAGCCTAAGTTATGGTATGGATGGGCTGTGTTTCTGAGTACAGAAATGCTCTCCTTCAGACCAAGAATGCCAGCTGGCAACAGCCTCTACAAGCTCAGGCTATGGCAGAATGATGTGTTCCTATTCACATCTTGGAGAAACATGGACTTGCCTATTTTTAAACCTCTAGTCCTCTCTCTTACTGCATTTATCCCACCTAAACCAGTGGCACTGTTTGTGAGGAGGACTGAGCACATATTGTCACTTGCTGCAGTGTGATTTTTCTGCTTCACCTACCAATGGGAACAGGACTGGTTCTGCCATTAGGGACTTTGGTGCTTTGAGCTGCAGGGTGTAGACAGAGGAGGTTTGGCATGACTAACTCTTAGCTGCAGTTTTGTTTATTTTAATAGCTATTCTCAAGAGTGTTCAGAGTTGACTGCACTGCCCTTAAAGTTAGCCAGAAGCTTTTCAGAACCAGGAATGGAACACTTAGTATTACTTTTTGTGTTTACTTTTGAGGTTAAAAAAGAAAAAGTTCTTTGCTTGCGTTTAGAAACCTTCCCTTCTTGAATCTGAGGTCCAACATACAGTCTGAAACACCTTTATTCAGTGCTGGCAATGCTGGCTCTTACAACTAGGGATTTTGATTGGATGTGGTCCACCAAACAAACCAGGTAATATGGTTTATTTTTTTTTGGCTCTGTATTCATTCATACTGGAAATGAAGCTCCTTTTATCCAAAACTAATAAATGCTGTGCCTGTGTAAAAAAGATTAGAAATGTCATCCACATCTTATCTCTGATCTGAATCCCTGAAGGCAGTTTGACCTTGGAGGGCCTGAGAGCATGGAACAGATGGTGAGGGGGAAGGAAGATAGTGGGACTTGTTCTTTTTACTGGTGAGAACAAACTCATGGCTGAGAGCATGCCTTTAACAGAATAACCTTAAACCCATGTATTTTTAAACACAGAAATAAATAAAACCTGTTAGCTCTTCAGTTCCTAGTTTTATGAAATAATGCTGTCCAGCAAATGAGCTGGTGAAGAAAAATCGCTTGTTGCTATTGTAGGTTGTTTTTTCCTTTTTTTTTTCTTTTTCTTTAATGGCACCAAGCCCAGTGATGCTACAACAGCTGGATGGCCATTGTGACTGTTTTACTGAAGGCCATTGGACTATGGCAGCTGAGAGAGACAACTGGGGGCAGGGTTCCCTGCTCTGTTGGTTCCTACAAATCACAGGTGTGCACTTGCAGTAGAAAATCTGGCTGTCTCTTTACTGGTTTGGAAGGCAAAGCTCTGTGTTTGGGACCTGTAAAAATGGACTGCAGAATGTTTCTAGTGGGAAATACACTGCCTCTGCTAATTACCTCTTGAATAAATAGTACTAATGTGAGTTGCTAGAGAACAGGGTGTGAGAGCTTTTTTTTCTTCTGCTTTGCAGTAGTAAGTCTTGTTTCCAAACTTGCAAGGAAGATGTAAATTCTTGGAAGAAAGCTTTCTAAATCCAGATAACTGTTGGCAAATGGATGACTTTGTTCCCCAAGATAATACCCACAAACAAACTTGCTTACTTTCTGCTTCTCTGCCTTCCTTTTGTATAGTGTTGTTTGGCTGTTTTGGATGGGGGCATATGTCTGTCTTTCTTTTAGTGATGTTTCCAGAATTAGTTCTGCCACAGTACAGGGTGGTGGAATGCACCTGAAACATGTAGCATAGATATATGTGGTCATATTTAATAAGTAATAAGGGGATGTTTTGATGAGTTGACATCTGAATTGGGCACCAGTAACTTGTGGTCTGTTGCTTACCAGAAATGAGACAGATGGCATGTGGTTCACAAGGGGGTAAGTTTTCATTTGCTGTGCTTCTGGTTTGAAGTGCAATGAGTTGTAGTATCTCTCTGAGAGGAGTTTTGTGAGTTCCTGGGGCAAGGTTTGTCCTCCCTGTTCTACCCACATGCCATTTTCACAGCAGCTGTGCAGTCAACCCTTAATATTTTCTTTGCATATGTTAGTGAGGGAAACCTTCAGGTGCTGTGTAGAGATGAGCAATAACTTAGGCAGAAAGTCTGTAGCCTCTTGCATTGAACAGGTTCTTGCCCTTGTGAAGGATTAATTTATTTTTTTTGGCAGTACAGGCAAAACAGCCAGAAGGGAGACCCAAAGGATATAGGCTAAATATTCCCCAGCTCTTAGCAGAAAAGGCATCAATTGCATGATTTCAAAGGCCTGTTGTCAATCTTACACACACGGCATTTGTTTTTCTCTCTTAATGGTAGTATTGAATCACACCAATTACATTATTACAGTACATTGTGTAAAACATGCTGCTGTTCTGTATAGATGGGTTGCAGTGGATCTGGCAATTATGTCTATTATGAAAAGACACAAGTTGAACATTCGAATGCCCATGAATTAGGGGGCAGGCAGCAGGCACTCATTAAAGATTTTAATTGCTTTCTTTTTCTTCTTTGGAAAAAAGCAGGGGAAGCCATGTTTCAAAGTGAGCAATTAAAGGATACTTCATAGCTAATTGCTGTGAGAAGGGGCTGCTACATGGAATATACTCTATTGTAATTCATATGATTACTTGACGTTTTATTAAGAAGCACATCTTTGTACTGTGGTAAATTTAATTTTCTGCAATGTAACTGTGTGCGTAATAACTGCTGAAGTAATGGCTGTTTGGATTTGCTGTGGCTCTTTTCCTTCCTTCCTGAAATAAACAAGCCATAAATAAGCATCATTGATGTACAGCAAATCCTCTGTGGATTGTGGGCTTATCTGGTTTGCAGGTGAGTGTACTGTGAGTGTGGGTAGGTTGGCCCAAGACTCAGCACTGTGGGTGCTCAGAAAGGCAGAGCTGCTCCCTACAGTGGCATTGCTGTGTTTTGGAGCCAGACTGAAAAGCCCTGCTGACCCCCAGGGTCAGTGCCCTGTCAGGTTCAGAGACACCACAGTGGCTGAATGCTGGGTGAGCTCAGGGCCACCAGCCTGGGCTGGAGCCCCATGGGCTGTGTCAGGGCTGGGAAAGGGAGGCTGAAGATGCTCAGTGGCCTGGGTCTAGGCTGACTACAAAATGTGTCCAGTCTCGCCATATAGGACTGGTGTCATGTCTGAACCACCACCTACATGCACAGCTAATTGTGCCTTATGCATCCCAAAATACCCAAGTGTGAAGCATCTCTGGGTTGCTCAATTACCTTGGAATACTTAAAAAAAAGGGGCATTGACTGTCTATTTTTGCCTTTATAATGCAAGTTATGCTAATTCCCAGCGGTGAAACTTGTGTTGATAGCACTGGTGACCTTCTCCATCCCACAAAACAGCCTTGAACAGAGCTTCTCTAGGTGTGACTTCCCATCTCTCCCCATCCTGCTTGTATGCTGTGTGGCATGTCTCTGTGACAATGGGAACAGCTTAAAGGAAATAGTCATGGTGGGGGTGTTGAAAATGTATTTGTAGCTGTGTTTTACTGCTGCTAATAATAGAGAGGGAGGAAATAATGCAGTAGGACAAGTTGAAATTGCTGCTTAGGTTTGGGATACACTGCTTAAGACCAGTGTTGTACAAATAACCTTTTTTCCAATTGTTTTCAGGAAAATTAGTGGTCTGAAACAACAGAAAACATAGGTATTGAAAAAACGTTGGTGTTAATAGCTTGGAATTTCTGCATTCTCAAATGCAAAATGAAGTGTCTCTCTGTGTACATTTCACTCAGTAAAACTCCCCATCCCACAGAACAGGTGTATTCTTTATTGCAGTAACTGTGCAACTGTTTTGCCCTTGTACTTGCCGGTGATTGTCAGAATTTCTCACTGACAAATTAATATTTACAAAAATATAAACAAGGCAAAGAAAAAGAAAAAGAAAAAGGTTGGTAATGATCTGAGGGACAGCAGCCTGTGAGAGGCAGGTCATGGAGACATGCCAGTTTCCTGAGTGGGTTTCAGGAAATAGTGATTCATATTCCCTTCTCTGACCTCTGTATGGCACCTTGAGCCTTACTTAGGACAGTGATTTACCTTACTGTGTTAGGCACAATCCATATTCTTGCTACTGATCAGTCAGGTTTTTATGAGGTTTGTACCTCTTGGTTTTGGGGTTTGTGGGATTTTTATGTCTCTACTATAATATGGCCTCTTGATTTATTTTTTTAGAGCAGCTGGAATTAGCAATTAGGAATAGGTTCAGTATTGAAGAAATTGTTGAGATAAAAGTTACAATGAATTTGCTAGTGGCAACTTTTATGCATGGAAGCATAGAGAGTGATAGATTGCAAAGACCTTCTATGGCTTTGAGATTTAAAAGCTTGAACAAAATCAGCAGGTTTATGACCTTCTTGGAAAGAATATTCATCATACCTATGCATATGTTGCATTTAACTGCTGTCTGCTTGGGTAAAGTATGGTATATACAGTATACAATTTTAGGATGTTGCATCCTTGTAATATGCCCTATATTCCTGCTTTTGCAGGGTGGGGTGTATTATTTATTCTAGTACCAGTATCTGTGGTAAAACGTGATGGACAGTCATGAGTTTTGATTAATTTTATATCTCTGCTAATGCATCCATTTAAAAATCATAGTTTGGTACTTGATGGATATGCAAAAAAGCATCAGGCTGTAGCTGACTGTAATGGGAGGTTGTTGATGAGATTACAGAGCATGGGGGTGCTATCTCAGCAGCTGTTTGCTACAAACAATTGTCATAACAATGTAACCAGTGCAGAAAAAACAGTTAATTGTGTATACGTGGGAGGATTCACTTGGCAATAAGGATCATACAGTATATGGCTTTATTTAACTCCTTTTTCCCTTTTAAAATAACAGTCTTATGTTAAATCCAAACAGAGCTTAAACATGTATTTATTTTAATTATTTTTTTATTTCTGCCAATAAAGATAGACAAGCTATGCCTCTGTACTCTTGCAGAATTTTGAAAGTGATTTTCATTCTGTCATGCATTCTGTTGTTCTGAACTATTTTTTTTTAATCACAAATTGCATCTTCTGCTGTAGCATGAAAAATAAAAATGCCTTTGTGGCTGCAGGAGTTGCTGTAAGTTTATTTGGGCAAACACTGGACTGGGTCTGATCTGTCAGCTTGCCTTTAACTGCAGTCACCATTTAGCTCTTGGTTGAGATTGTGTTAGTTGTCAGTAATTTTGTTTGCAGTCTCGGCTGGAGGCTGTGATGAAGTGTGCTTGGAACTGGGGCATTACACAGATCAAATCATGATGAAACAGCTGCAGCTTAATCACAATGAAGTATGTGTGGGCTTTAAGGGCTGCATATTCTGGAAATTTTTATTATGCTTAATTCCCATGTTTAACCTTTTTATGAAAAAAAAAAATCTCCCCACAATTAGAAAGAAATAGGTGTAAGATTATAGTTGTATTGTAAAATAAATCTCATAACCTTCATGTTTCAAGGAGAGAACATTTTGTTTGCCTTTGCTCAAGGTGAAATTGCTGGCAATTTTCTTAATTTTTCTGATCTTTTAGATGTCTAGACTAGAGTGTCTGATGTTGCACCCCTTTCAGCTGAGGAGCCCAGGGCAGTGTGTCTGTGCTATCAGATGGTGCTCAGACTCAGTGGCATCCAGTACTGCCTCTCCCAGAGGCTGGGTAGTCTGGGGGAGGCCCTCTGTGTTTGGAAATTGGAGGGATTTTTCCATTTACTCTGGAATTGCAATCTCCCTCTTTTTGCTCAGAAAAGCGCAAAGGGCTGGGATTTGGAGATAAATCTGAGACTGTGGCATGTTGTATTTTGGGACATCCTTGGAAATTGCTGAACTAATTGTTTCTGTCAAAAGTAATGTTTCTTCTTGATCTAAGCCCAGAAATGTACTGATAGATTAACAAAATTAAGACATATTTTATATATTTGAAAAAGACCAATTCAGTATTGCATTGCTGAAATGTGTAATTGCTTTAAGTTGATGACAGGCAAATCTGATTACTTAGGCAACCTGTTCAAATTTAACAATAAAAGGTCAGTCACAAAAAAGAACAACAAACATTGATGCTATTGCGAAGAAATCTAGTGTAGACATGGAAGACAAATTATCAGCCTTGGAAAGAGTTCTCATAGTTGCAGGCAATTGAAGTAATAAGGAAGATACTTTAAGAATGGCCTTGAATTTCTAATTAATTAGAAAATAAGGAGGATGCTTTATGGATGGCCTTGAATTTCTAATTATTGAGGAAATGGGATATGGTAGATCTGTTCCATAATGCTCTAATTCTGGGACAGAAATCCAGATAAGATATGTGTAGCAATTTCTTCCTGTAGATACAGCTATCTTCTTGAGTTTCCTTCATGTGGGTAGAAAGCACCTCTGTGGAAACACCTTCCTTATGTTGGGCTAACCTTTTAAAAGAAAAAAAAATTATTTTAAACAAAATGCTATGAGTGATGGGTGTAGCTTCCTTTGGAGGAGTCAGTTGTGTTTTTCTCTCTTGGATTCTGATGCCTCACTTGTGTGTGTGCCAGGCAAACCGGGACGCAGTGATCAGCCGAGCCCCAGAGCAGCAGGATGACCGAGCCATCAGCCTCCGGGATGCTTCTGCAGTCTACGACCTCCTGAGCATCACGCTGGGCAGAAGAGGGCAGTATGTGATGCTGTCTGAGGTACCTCCCTCAGCCTCTGCCCCTCCAAACACTCTGGAAAAAGCTCCTCTCTGTGGTGGCTTGTCGGGGAAGGTGAAAATGGAGTGTGCTAGTTAGCAATCAGCAGAAACAGCTACAGAGCTCTGGCTGCCCAGGCCAGAAATGCACACAGAACTGTTTGAGACAGTAAACTAATTTATATGTAGGCACTTGAACAAAGTGGCTGCCTTTTGAAGTGATGCAAGTCCCATTAGCTGAGCAGTGTAAATGGTGTCATTAAAAAGAAAAAAAATCACCTGGGTCTCTACGGCCACAACAGATTGTTTCCTGACCCAAGCAGCAGTCTTGACAAAAGGTGTAAGGAGGAAAATAAATAAAGTCTGATACTCCTTTTGCAATTCCTTTCTCAGTGCTTGGAGAGAGCCATGAAGTTTGCATTTGATGAGTTTCACCTCTGGTACCAGCTTGCCCTGTCCATGGTAGCTTGTGGAAAGGTAAGGTTCAAACCAAAGGGCCCAGAAAGGGCACTTTTTCTTCTGAAAGAGTGGATCTGGATTACTTGTTTGAATGTGTAGAGTCGTCTGTGTTTTGGGACTAGATGCCAGCAGGCAGGTCTGTGAAAGGACAGTGCTCTCCTTTAGGCTGTGATTGCACTTTGTGATGAGGGGTGTGTGTTTGGTATTGAGTACTGTTCTTTCTGTGTAGCGTTCTTTTCTCATTACCAAGGAGAAGAATGGATTTTGTGCATAGCTGTGGGTTGAAAAGCATTATACAGCTTTCCATTGTCTGCAGGTTCAACATAAATGGACTTAGTATAAGAAAGAACTAATATCTAAAACTGCCATCAGTTCACTCTGTGTCTGGGCAGTTGACTTAAGCTGTGGTTTTTCCAGCCATTAAAGGAAATGTAAATGTTTTTTTGTAGAGAACTTGTAACATTTAATGTTTTAAACCTTAATATTTTAAACCTTTATCCATATTTATATGAAGTGCTTGGTGCAAAATATGCTCTAGAAAAAGAAACAATGGGAATGTTGGCATGGTCATGTGTTTCAGCATAAGTGTTTTTTTTAAAATTACTGTGGTATTTGTGAAAGTCATTAGTAAACCACTGAGATGGCTGAAATGTGGTTATGAAAAGTAGGCAAAGATAACAGGAGCTTTTCTTTATCAGTCTTAAAAGAGTGGACTTCCTGTGGGAAATGTAGATGGTACAAAATGTAGCCAGTTTATTTTAGAGTCCCCACCTACACGTTTGGGAGATGAGCAAATTGATGCTGTGCAGTAGTAAACCACTTAATATGGTCCTATATTCTGTGCCCCTGGAGTGTTCCATGTGGACCTGAGTGGAGACCACCAACTAGCACTCATTTGCCAAATTCCAGCTACTACTGGTCTTTTATGGCTATGAGCTGAGTCGGAAACAGCGGCCTTGGCATGGAAATAAGGCACGAATCTGTGCTTTTGCAGAGAAACTGTCTTGTGAGGTATAAGTGGCTGCAAAGCTTGGAAGTGGTCTGAAAGAATTCTTCCACTTCCACGAGCATGGGCAAAGCCCTATATTGGAAGACTGTCTGGGGTTAACATTCTGCTTCAAAAAAATGGTAGAGCAATGAGAGAAAGTCTAATAAAGAGTATCAGATGTGACTAAGGGTATAGTAAGCAGTACTATGGAAAGATTGAAATGATTTTTTTTGCCTTAAAGGGTGAGAAAAAAGGTCTGAGAGAAGTCTTCAAGAGCTTTTAAGAGGAGGGGTTAGTCTTGTCTGTGGTGGTTAGGACAAGATGTGATGGTATCTAATTGCAACAACACAAGTTCATGTTTCTTATTAAGAGGCAAAAAAGTAAGGATAGCAGAACACTGGAAAAAGAGTGCCCTGTGGATTGTGTGGAGCCTAAATCAGTGGGGATCTGTGGAACACACCAGGCAAAGCTGTAGTGACCTGTCTGTGAGACACTAGGGATGTCTTCTCTGGTACCTTGCAAACTCTGGCTCTGTTCTGGGACTCCATCATTGTCCCCTTTTAAACGTAACAGAACTGGCTGATTTATGAGATACCAAAGCTTTCACAATATATATTAGATCAGCAGGGAGCTCAACAGAGATCTTCAGTCAGAAAGAACTTCACAGATTGCTACAGAAGTTCAGTGCAAGCATTTAAAAATCCAATTCCAAGCTTGAAAACAGTGGCCAGACTCAATCATGAGTGAGGAAAGCTGAAGGTACTGGTGGAATACTTAAACAATGAGCTTGGTGCCATGGTGCTAAATACCTTGCACTGACTTATGTCAAGTGGGGCTTACATGTCATGTCCAGCTCACCTTGGAATTCAGCTGGAGTTAGCACAGTCCTGCCCTCTGTGTCTTTGCAAATCCTTCAGGTACTTGAACCCTTGATGCTGGACACAACAGTGATACACAGGCCGTGATAGAAAGGCACAGAATCTTACCATGAACATGGGGTTTGTCTGGGAGTTCTGTAGGCTTTACAAGTTGTGTAACCTGGTTCTCAACAGCAGACAATGCTATAGCTCTAGTAATCTGCTGGGGAGCAAGTGAAGATTTTTAACTGCTGATGTTTGAGAGTGAGTGTATACAGAGAATAATTGTGCTTCAGTCTTAGGTTAGCATAGGTTAGGAGAAGTGGGGCCTGATCTTTAGCTTTGAACAATTTGCATGGCAGTTCCATTCTTGTCCATTCTGTTTGCATACCTCTTCACCTTCCCTACATGTAACAGGATATTTGTTACTTAGTTATTTGTGTTGCTCTTCTTTATTTTTTTTTATCTCTGTACTGTCCCATCTTTTCAGATTTTCAAGGACACCATGTCTTTTTGTCTGTACTTTAAATATTTACAAGGTAAAATGTCCTGATCTTGCCTATTGATGTAAAAGTGCTAAATGTTCTGAGCCCTATATGGGTCAGAGGGAATTCCCTTACCCAACAATCCCATCTGTGCAGTATTTCACTTCTAATCCCAAAGTATTCCCTGAGGATTCCTGTCATGTACTCTGCAATGCATCATCTTGCTAATGGGAGATGTGGCATACATTTTTATATTGCTTTGCAGCTTGATAGCAGGACAGAGTTCATTTACAAGCAAGTGCTCCCGTGTAGCAGAAAGAGCTGATGAGAAAACAGTGTGGTCAGTCTAGACTGCAAAATGCAGAGTGCACTTGAGCTTTTATAGGTGAAGATCTATTTTCACCTGTCTCAGTCACAGCCAATTCATGATCTCATTTCTTGGTAATGAAATCTCACATCCTGCAGCATTACTTGTTCTGCAGTACAGCAAATTGCACTCATAAATCCTGGGCACGACAGGAACAGTTTTATCAACCTGTAAATACTGGAAACTTTGGTTTCTCTTTTTTTTTAAACACGTTTTTAGGATTTTCAATTCTGACCTTCTTAAAAGTGCCATAAAATCCTATCTTGCTCTCTCTTCTACACTGAATTTGACTAGAGGTATGTTTAATTTGTATATTAAGTCAATCAAATCAGATTTCAGTGTAGTTTCTTCTTCTGCCAGCCAAAGAATTGCCAAATGGTGATTGTCATTTTTCACAAGTGATCAGTCTGAATGTCAGGCCAGCCACCTTGGCTCATTACCACACGTAGGCTTGAGTTTACACATTATTCTGAAAAGCATGTGTCTTAACAAAAATAGGCACATCACTTCAGTGAGTTCCTACAGGCCTTGGGGCTTCCTAAAACCATAAATGAAAAAACTCAGGGAAGCACAACCTTTCTGCCTGTCTTTTATCCACTTAAGTGGTGGAAATAATGGAGTGGTAGCAATTTCACTTTCCTGTGTTTCTCAGAAACTTGTATCATGAGAGAGATGGTGTGGTCTGGTTGTTTTTTAACCCATTTTTAAGAATGCCTTTTATATTGAGCTTTATTCACTGAACAAGAGCGGCATGGTATATCTAAATGACAAATCCCACCATTATATTTGAAATGCTTTTGTAGGCAAATTTAGATGGGAAAGGAAAGGAAGTGCTGGCAAAACCTAGACAATGGCAAAGATGTGGTGGGCGATGTCCTGTGTCACCAAGTGCAGTTCTGAATAGGCCAAAGATGTTTAAATCATTCTAATGCAACAGCCCTGTTCCTGTGGTGCTGAATGCTGAATTCTTCACAGATGCTTTGAGTTGCTTCTGATGGTAATAACCTTGGCTGTGTGGTAATATCAGCTGGAGGCTGAGTGGGCACTGCAGCTCCCTGCGTGGACAGGCTGGAGGCTGAGTGGCAAGTGGTGCAATAGCCTGGTGCCATCTGGCAGGGTCCTCAGGCAATGAGACGAGCCACTGTCCTGCTGCCAGGGTAAAACCAGCGCAGACATTTGCATCTGCTCGTCTCAAGATTTTAAAAAAGTGACCAATGTGGGAATCCAGGGCTTCCCTCTGGCTGCCCTGGAAGGCCTGGGACCCTGGCAGGGGGTCAGGAACCCTCCTGTACAGAGCCCTGAGAGACACTGTCTGTGATCTCTGTCCATGAAAAAGAGTTTTCAATCTTACAGGATGAATTACAAGCTTTGAGTGTTTGATAAGAGTAATAATTAAGTGTAACACAGGTGCAAAAGTACAATTTTAGGTTTCTAGATTAGGGGTTCAGAGGGGACAAGATGGAGGAAATTGGGTGTGTCTTGTCCTTTTCCTCCTTCTTCATGCCCTCCATGTTTCACTGTGGTGTTGGCATTTTTCTGTTGGTTTAGGCTGGGGACACACTGTTCAACGTAGGTGACAGATATTGGCACATTATTGTAAATATAGCACAGGTAGTTTCTGGTATTTAATGTTTGTACCATCCCACTGAGGGCAGAGCCCCACACGCTGCCCTGCAGGACAGAGCTGCGGCAGGGCAGCAGAACATGTTAGAGATAAACAGAATAAACAACCTTGAAACCAGCACAGACGAATTATGGCTTCTTCTTTGGCAGCGGGGCTGAAAGACAGAGACTTTCTACAGTCTCGGAATCATCAATACCCACAGATTCCGACAGACCAGTATTGAGCAACATAGGGAAAGGAAGGACCAAACTCTCTTTTACGGAGTGAAAAAGACTTTGCAGTCTTCACAGCAGAGGAGAGAGCTGCTTGGGGTTGATTTCTTCTCTGCTGCTGCTTTCCAGCTAATCAGTTTTCCCTGGAGGTCGTGGAGGTTACCAGCACATAGCTCTCCTGGAGACTAAGGTAGCTCTCCTGACATTTCTGAACTTGGAGGCAAAATTATCATAGTGTCTAGATGATGTATTACAAGCACAAGGGATGTGTAATAGGGTCCTTGTGCACTCGCAAGCATTTCCTTGGCCTTGGATCAGTTGGATCAGTTACGTATTCCTTTTTCAGGTTTCTGTCCCCTTCCACAACTACTACTCTCACACAGAGCCTAGCCTGGGTGTCCCAAAGTGTTGCTGGAGCTCCCTGGGAGTAGAGAAGTGGTGCATATAGTGAGTAGGCTCTAGCTTAAATTATGGTACTTAAGAAG